GCTGCGATTCCGGCATGTGCTGTTGTGTCCTCCTCCTAGCCGGGATCGCCGCACTCGTTACCCTCGCTGTTCACATCGGCACGTCCAAGGACCCCGTGTACTCGGTCACCATCACCGGCGTCGCCGGCCTAGACCCAGCGGCCAACCTCTTTGTCGTCGGTGTTCAACCTCACCGTCCGCATCGACAACGCCGGCAACTGGCTGGACGAGGCGTGCATCGGGAGGCTCTCGACCGTGGCCGTGTCGTACGGGGACGCGGTCCTCGGACGCGGCTCCGTGCCGGAGTTCTGCGCCAAGGAGGAAGGTGGAGGAAGGTGGAGGGCGTGGGGGCATCACTACTACTACATATACTATTTGTAGAGGCGGCTCAAGACTATTTGTAGGGGCGATTTGGCCAGCCGCTCCTACCAAATCGTCTCTATAAATCATGCATTTGTAGAGGCGGCTCTGGTGTTATCAGCCGTCCCTACAAATCAGCCGTCCCTACAAATCGATTTGTAGGGACGGCTGTAGTACTAGCCGCCCCTATAATACCTATTTGTAGGGGTAGTACATTTTTTTCAAAAAAAATTCAAATTTACAATTCAAATTCGACCAGAACCGTCCTGTTTGTTTCCGCGTATTCCCACGTTCACGCGTTGTGAGTGAGCGATCAACATTCGAACCGCGTTCGCTCAACGTCCCACCGAACGCCCCGCGATCAACGTTCCGAACCGCGTTCGCTCAAGAGTATTATATAAACTACAAGCACAAAAGTATTATATAAACTACAATGACGACAGATCTAAGGCCGCGCTTCCAATCACCACCCCTATGACGACAGATCTGAGGAGACACGGTGTGTGTGTGAGAGAGAGAGAGCACCAGAAAGGAAGATTGCCGAGAGAAGAGCGAGAAAAGAGAAAATATCGTGAGTCATGCCGGCGCGGGGGTGGATTCGCAATGAGCCGAGCGGCCGCGCTCGCACCAGTCCCCGCACGACCGCGCCCGCGGTGGCCTCTTGCCCGCGCTGGGGTGGATCCGCGCGCCGAGCCGCGCAGCCGCTCTCGCGTCGGTCCCCGCTCGACTACGCCCGACGGCCTCATGCCCATGCCTATGTGGATCCGTGCCGACCGCCGAGCCGCTCGGTGCCGTGGTGTGGAGTCTGCCATGGTGTGGAGGCGTGGGGAGGAGGAGATAGTATGTCGTGGTGTGGGGGCGTGGGGAGGAGATAGTTTGCCATGGTGTGGAGGCGTGGGGAGGAGATAGTTTGCCATGGTGTGGAGGCGTGGGGAGGAGGAGATAGTCTGTCGTGGTGCTGTGGTGTGGAGGCGTGGTGTTGGGAGGGAGTTGGGAGGAGTTGGGAAGCGTGCGGAGTTACCTGCAATCGATAAAATTTTTGGGTCCGAGAGTATGGATCAGTGCCGGTTTGGTAATTCAACCGACAGTAAATAGACAATTGCTGGTTTATATTAACAACCGGCAGTGATGTGGTCCTTCAGTATCAGTTTTAGCCTAGTCTCAATCATTTTCTTGTTTTCAAGCTCGAAGCATACATCACTGCCGGTTCTCATGAATCCGACAGTGATGAGGCCGACAGTGATGTCTAAATCTGTAGTAGTGGTATGCGGGTGTCCGTTCGGACTCAACTCACGTGAAAACTATGCACCGCTGCTTCGTTTCCCACACGGTTAAAGAGCGGTGCATGTAAGGACGTCCCCAATGATTCTCAAATAGCTAGTCTAGGAAGAATTCTATTGGCTATCAAAGATAGAGATAAAATTGCTAGCGACTCTCAAATATTAGTCTAGCACGATTTCCCATATAAAACTCTCTCACAACTCGCATAACTCTCCTCTACGATATTCTTTGTTTATTATTTCTGAGCCCCATCTAGCTAGCTATTTGCAATTTTCCATTGAGGACACCCTAAGTGTCGAATCCTTTAGAGAATTGAATCCGCATGCAAGTTGTTCTGCAGACCCAGCTGATTTGCATGCAAAGAAGCCATGCGAGGGGGGTAGAGCGATGGAGGTGCAACATTAATCGGATGAGAGAGAAAACAAAATGAATTAACTTAGCGCTAATTACCTCCTTGAGTACGTGTATAGCCATTGCACACATATACAATATCCAGGTCGACTTTTTCAACGTCTAGATAAAACACTTGCAACGTACGCACGTATGAAATAGATGAGACATTTGGAACATACACTTGCAACATACGTGTATAGCCATTGCACACATATGCAACATTCAGATCTACTTTTGAAACATGTAAATGAAACATTTGCAACAAACGTCGAAAACAGATGAAACATTTGGAGCATACACTTGAAACATACGTGTATAGTCATTGCAACATATGTAACATCCTGATCTACTTTTGCAACATCGATATAAAACACTTGCAACATGCCTAAAACACCTAAAACACTAGAAATATACATTTGCAACATGCGCTTTCTTGCTTTGGTGAATGAAGGCTCATCGACGCGTGGAGGTCACTGGTGTAGAGCTCGCCGGCGGCGCCGAGCTGGGCGGCAGTGCACAGAGGGCGCGGTGGGCGCAACAGCGGTGGTGCAGATGGTGGGTGTGGGCGCGACGACAGCGATGATGACATAGATGGCGGGTGGGGACAGTAGCGGTGGCACGGAGAGTGGGGTGGGGCGGGGCGGCATCGACGACGCAAAAAGCATGGATGGAGGTAGCGGTGGCAGCACTCAAAGGATTGGAGCGCGCGCATCCGTGTCTAAGCGTTACCATTCTTTTTATGCGGCAAGTGCAACTATCCTATTTGATACACACTGTAGTAAAAAAACGTTACGACAATCAATAAGTAATCTATTTTAGTCTAGTGGGGGCAAGACAAGAGGCAAATGCATGATGTGAATCACGACACAAGAGTTAAAAAGTAGAAAATAGCTTACGACATAATAATTCAAAAGGTAGAAAGGGGGCGAACAAAACTACTGGAACAATAATAGCTAGCGGTGCGCAAGCCCATATAGAGCATCCGATGGAACGCCCGCCCGCCCTTGAGCATTACCGTTATGATTTTGAGCCGCTTTCCATGACCACACGCCAGAGGTGATTCTCGAATAAAACAAGAACAAGGCATTATCTCATCATGGCACGGCTCTAGTTTTCCTCATCGCTCCTTTGCTTCTTCTCCTCTCGGCAGTCGGCACTCCTCCAAGTCACCGCTCCTCCTTCCCACACTCCTTTGTGTTGTTGGGCTCCTCCATGCACCAAACTCCTCGTCCCCGCTCGTCTCCTCTAGCATCGTCACATTCGCACGCCTCTCCGAGCTCCTCCTCCGCGCGCACTGAGATCCTTTGCGCTGTCGCTCTCCTCCGTGCCATAAAGCTCCTCCTCCTCGCTATCTTTCCCTATCTCCCATCAAGCTCGTCTTCCTCGCTATCCTTTCCTATCGCTGCAGCCGCTCGAGCGTCGACAGCCATCCCCCTCTTGCGCCTCCCCGAACCTTGGCCGGCGTCCCCCTCCATGCATGCCCCTCACTTACCAGGGAATTGCAAAATGGTATGCTTCTTATTCCCTGACTTCATACAAAATCTAGGTTACCTAGTAAACCAGCTTCGAATCCGAGCGTGGCTAAACTAAGCTATCCCAAACAGGCACCAACTCATGTCTTCCACTGCCCTCATCCTGCATCGGTGCACCTTCTCATTGCTCTACTCCTCCTTTGCATAGTTGCAAATAGATCTTATCATAGGCCATCTAATCCAACCGGCACGACCTAACTCAACTAAAGAAACTCAACCGGTACATTGGGTCATAATTTTAACTCATCTTCATCCAACCCAACCCGAAAAATCCCAACACAAAACGAGAAAATATATAAAAATTAAGCCGACCCACTAGTATACCGGGGGCCAAATACTTTGACTTGATATTTTTTTGGCCCTCTTGAACTGATATTTGATCTGGTCTATTTGTAAATTCCATTCCCAAGGCCATTCTGGCGCCGTTTGCTTCACTGAAAAAACAAACTGAAACACTGTCCGGTTGATTTGTTGTGAGAGAAAAATACTATTCGACTGAAAAAACAAGTTGAAAAGTACAAAAGCTGAAAAAACAAGTTAAAAAGTACGGATTATAAGACAAGCGAACAGAGCCCGCTTTTGGAATGCCTTTGTTTAGTACCACCTCAAATTTTATTTTTTAAAACTCTCATTCCATCACATCAATTTTTGGAGCTGTTCATGCATGCATGGAGCATTAAATGTAGGTAAAAAAAGAACTAATTACCGGTTTGGTGGTTGTAAATGGGCAAGCGGAGATGGATCTTGCAGCGCCAGTTAGTCGTCCCATGATCAAGGACAAAGATTTGATCGATCAAATCCAAAGCGCCACCACACCACACTCTCACGGCGATCAGACCCACCAAAATTTCCAATCTAAACAAGGCCTTGGAATGAAACGCTTTGGCACTAGTACCATTTCAGATTTTATTTATAATAATAAAACAGCATGCAAGCTTATACCGTTGATGACGTGGCTAGCTGTTCATGATCTAGATTTCTATCCTTTTTGGGCTGAGGGAGCAGCAAAGGCCTGTCTGCAGCAGATCCGGATGCTCGTGCCAGTGGACCGGTGGCCGGTGGTTAGTTGGCACGTGGGCAAGCGGCACCACACTGGGACAGTGCTCGCCACTGCGGCGCGTGCCGCGCGCCTTCGTCCCCTCGGCAAGCAAGCCCCAAGATTCGATCGATCCAAATCCATCCCCCGCCACCACACCACACTCTCACGGCGACTCCGCTGCTCACCCACCTCCTCTGCCCCTCCCGCCTCCCGGGATCACGAGAGGCAACGCCACTCGCGAGATTCACGGGAGCCGAGAGATCTGCGCGGCTGTGCTACGCAGCCGCACTGCGCTGAACTGAGCTTACTCCGCTCTGCTCATGCTGCTGAGGTAGAGTCCACGGGCCGGCGGGCGGGCGGGAAACAGGTACGGCTTACGCCGGCGGTGGCCACGGTCAGCCTCCTCGGTCGTCGGGATGAAGCCGCGGAGGTTCGGCTACGGCTACGGCTACGGCCGGGGCAGGCGCGCGGCGGCGCTGCTCCTGCTGCTGCTCTGCCTCTGCCTCAGCAGCCTGTTCCTCTTGCTTCTCCACGGCTCCTCAGCGCCGCTGGACCCCGCGGCGGACGAGAAGGCGGCGGCGGCGGGGGCAAGAGTGGCGGAGGCGCAGGCGGAGGTGGAGGAGGCGCCGCTGCCGCCGGGGAACTCCAAGGTCGCCTTCCTCTTCATCGCGCGCAACCGCCTCCCGCTCGAACTCGTCTGGGATGCCTTCTTCCGCGTACGGATCCGAATCCCACTCAAATTCACTCATTCTATCACCGTTCTTCCCCCATTGCCGCTGCTTCCCAATGCCACTGAGTGCCTTCGCGGATCCTAACTGCCGATGACTGATGTATCGTATCCTTGTTGTGCTGATCAGGGTGACAAGGAGGGGAGGTTCTCCATCCTCGTGCACTCGCGGCCGGGCTTCGTGCTCACCCGAGCCACCACCCGGTCCCGATTCTTCTACAACCGTCAGGTCAATGACAGCATCCAGGTGGGCACATTTGCACCATATGTTGAATGGTGAAACACAATTGGTGTCGTCAGTACGCGTGCTCTTGCTGACATGGCTTCTGCGCTTTGCTGCAGGTGGATTGGGGGGAGGCGAGCATGATCACGGCAGAGCGCATTCTGCTCAGCCATGCTCTTAAAGATCCGCTCAATGACCGCTTTGTTTTTGTCTCCGACAGGTACACTCTTCAAACACATTTTTGAGAATGCCGTGTCCAAATTCGGTCCTAGGATTTGTGTAGAGAATATTATCTGGGGTTGAAGGCAATAACTTTTCAAGTTGTAGTGTTCTTGTGCATCATCTATTATCAAGCATGTGTAATCTTGGGTTCTTGATTTGGTTGTAGGAAGTAATCAAGTCCTTTAGACAAGCATTATAACTAGCCTTTCTTTTTTAGCCTGTGATTTGTTGTATGCTATGGTGAGGAAAATGGGGATGAAAATAATGTTAATGTAGTAAAATGACTTCATCTTCTTATAAAAGTATATCAAGATCTGTTAGGGTTGTACAGTTAAAAATCTAATTTAAAGCAAGGTCTACTTTTTTGCATCTTGCCCATGTTTAGTTTGTTATGCGCATGCGCTCATTGAATCAGTGTCAAGCTCATATTCAGTTTTCAGTAACAACAATAAAGTTGATAAAGCAATTTGAACCATCTCGGAGAAGATATTAATTTTTGATACTGACACTGATAGACGAAAACTAGGCAGCAAATGGGAACAAACCTTTTCTTGTTGCCTGACAGCCCACCGTTTATCTACTACCGAGTTGTAAGATAAAACGCCAATGGACCTGGATACAACATTAACATTTCCTCCCAAATTTCTGTTTGTTCCAGTGGTGGTTGAGCATTTGATTTGTTTCGAGTTTCACAAACTTTTTCGCATTTACAAATAAGGAGCTAAATGTCTCAATAAAACTGGCAAATATCAAGATTTGTCATTCAAGATCATATTGAATATATTTTCTTGGAACGATATATCTTACTGCACAAAGGAGAACCATAATATTACCAATAAACTAGTGGTGCTTTGTAAGTACAAATTATTGTAGAAAATGTTGAGGAAGGTTCATGGTAATTAGCTTTGCACTTGTAATATCAGAGTTATTTGAATGTTTATGCCGTTATCTCGAAAAATTATCTTACAACCACCAAGCTTATGTGGAATAAGCTACACCCTATATGACTGATTGTTTGACCATTGATGTCAGTTGCATTGTAATATATTGTACTACTTAGTACTACCACTTTGTATTAAATCTGCAGAAAGTAGAGAAATATTTCATCTATACTAATATCCATTTGCCGATTCCTATGTATGCTGCTGTCAACAGTTCCACATCTTTTTTCAATCCTATTTTGACTTTCTTTTCTTCATTCGTCGCTGGTAAATTTTGGATCTTAATTTTGATTCATGCTTACTAGGATCTTCTCTCTGTGGCAGCTGTGTACCATTGTACAATTTCAGCTACACTTACGACTACATAATGTCATCATCAACCAGCTTTGTAGACAGGTATAAATATCCAAATACTGTGGTACATTTCCTGGTCTTGGTTATAATAGTCTTTTATGATGTCACTGGAAATTCATTTTAGCTCTTTCCCCTTTATGAATTATGATATATGATATATCTTTGCTTTGTTGCACCTTGATCCCGTAGATGAATTGCACAGCAAGCTACAGGCTTGCAGCTGAAGGGTCAATTCTTTTTGTCTATTTACTTTGCCCTGTATTATGCTGGTTGCAGTTTTGCTGATACAAAGGCAGGGAGATACAACCCAAGAATGGACCCAGTTATCCCAGTGGAGAATTGGAGAAAAGGCTCACAGGTGGTCCTTCCACTATAAATAAAGACTGAAGTACTGAACATTGCATTGATAATTAATTCTGGTGCCTCTACCACTGAACTTCTATTCATACATTGTTTCCAGTGGGCTGTGCTAATTAAAAAGCATGCTGAGGTTGTGGTTGATGATGAAGTGGTGTTACCAGAATTCCAGAAGCATTGCAGGGTATATATCTTAATATTTGTATGCAGATAAGTTTGAGAACAGTAGTAAGGTTACATTGTTTACTACCTCATAATTTGCCAATCAAGAGAGTAGATATTAGATATTCAAAACTAGGTTTTTGTATGTTATGTAAACATGCATAGTTCACAGGGGTTGAGCTGCTAATAATTTTCCAGCAGTCTCAAAAGAACTAGTAAAGTTAGTGTGGCAACTGCTGTATGTGGCATAACGTCTATGGTGACAATCAATCCAATTTTGTTATAGCATCAGTTCTCAAATTATGAATCCTCGTCTTATTTACATTAAGCTCTTACATCTATTCAATTTCTAATATTGACCAATCATATATTTCTGTATACTGCAGAGGAGACCCTTGCCAGAGTTCTGGCGGGATTGGGATCGTCCTATTGTAAGTGAAAACATTTCAGTATATTACTGAACAATCCATTTTCTTATTCATGACGTGATTTATGGATTGCCATTTTAGCAGTTTTTACGTGTAAAAATGTATATCTCAAATCCCATCATCATCAACAACAGAGCCTGACAGCCTGTTAGTCCCAAACAAGTTTTAGTGGGCTTCGGATGGAACCAGCATGAGCCACCAACATGGAAAAAAACATCTCGATCAAACATAATAAAAATACAAAAGGACGTTAATGACAGTACTAATAGTTAACACTAGTTTATGGTTCAGGTTCTTTCTGCATGCTTCTATCTAAGATATCCTGTCCCTCCTGATTCCTACAGACATACCCAAAACCCCCATATGCCACCTCAAATCCTACATTAGATGTGCCTACATTACTGTAGAGAGATAATGCACCGCACACCCAATAGGGGGGGGGGGGTAGCCTTTCATATATATAGCCGAGAAGGCTTGGAGTACAAGTAATATGAAGTACAATACAAGTCAGGCTATACATATCTATTTATATCTCTAATACCCCCGATCATGGGAGGATCTCGGACGCAAAAGATCGGACCTAAAATCGATAAACAATCTATGCAGGCAAGCCTTTGGTCATAATGTCCATGAACCGATGGGATGAAGGGACATGGAGGACCCGAACTCTGTCCTAGAGCAACCTTGTCGCGAACAAAATGAATGTCAATCTCTATATGCTTCATGCGGCGATGATGAACAGGATTACCCGTCATGTAGACTGCACTGACATTGTCACAGTATACAATCGTCGCCGAAGTAAGAGGAGTGTGAAGCTCCTGAAGTAGCTGACGAAGCCAACAAGTCTCAGCAACAGCATGGGCGACAAAGACGGTATTGACCTCTACTATTTGGAGCAGCGTAGTCTGCCGTTTGGAGGACCAAGACACCAGATTGTCACCAAGAAAGACACGAGTATCAGGGCGTGAGACCGCCGAGAATCCGGACAGCCCACCCCAATCAACATCCGAGTATCTTTGTGAGAGTGTCAAGAGACCCGCACCGAGGTGAAGACCGGTAGACAATGTACCCTTGACGATCGCAAAATCCGCTTGAGAGCGGCGCGAGATGAGGTTCACGGAGAATGCATAAAGAGACAGAACCTCTTTGAATCGCATAGGCAATGTCAGACGAGTCAATGTGAGGTATCAGTAAACCGCCGGCGAGACTCGGTATTGTGTTGGATCGGCAATGGTGAGCCATCGATGGTCGACAGATTTAGGCGGCGATGCATCGATCGGGGTGGTGTGAGAGTGACACTCAATCATACCAGCCCATTGGAGAAGATCAATCGCACATCTTTGCATTGTGGATGAGGAAAAGACCGTCAGCAGAACGAGTGACATAAATCCCGAGGAAATGATGAAGGTCCCCGAGATCAGTCATGGCGAACTCTGAGCTAAGGCGCTCAGTAATATGTCGAAGAAGAGCAGGCGAGGATGCTGTGAGGACAATGTCGTCGACGTAAAGCAACAGGTAAGCAACACTGGTGCCCTCCTTGAACACAAAAAGAGAAGTATCTGACACTGAAGCGACGAAGCCCAAGGTCTGAATGAAGGTAGAGAATCGCTGGTGCCATGCCCGGAGTGCCTGCTTGAGCCCATACAAAGACTTCTGTAACAAGCTGACATGGTCAAGTGCAGCCGGGTCGACGAATCCAGGTGGCTGCTGGCAGTAAACAATCTCATTCAGATGACCATGAAGAAAGGCGTTCTTGACATCCAAGCGATGAATTGGCTGCACGAGACGCAACAATCCGAGAACAACCCGAATCGTTCTTTGGCTTAACAAGCTCGGATGAAAGTCTCTTCGTAGTCGATGCCATACTGCTGAGAAAATCCTCGAACAACCCACCGAGCTTTGTGACGAGCAAGAGAGCCATCAGAGTGATACTTATGCTTGAAGATCCACTTGCCGGAAACAATGTTGGCACGAGGAGACCGTGGTACGAGTCGCCAAGTGCCATTGTCAACAAGTGCCTTGTATTCATCCACCATTGCAGCCCGCCAATTTGGATCAGCAAGGGCGCTGCGATAATTGGCAGGAAGCGGTGAGGCATGCGTGGCGGAGTAAGTCAGGCGTTCGCGAGGCGGAGCATTCGATCATTGCCGTGTCACACGGGCGCAATGGAAGCAGCGAGGACCGGCTCAAAGCGTGAGTGGTGCCGAGGCGCCGGTGGAGGAGGCGTGACTTGTGCACAGGGCATGAGATGTGATCGAGGACGCCGTTTGTCATTTGGAAGAGCACCGGCGGTCGTGATGTAGCAGAGCCGCAGACGCGTCTTGCTCCCCGAGCGGTCGTGATGCGGCGAGAGCCGGCAGACGCGTCTTGCTCCGCAGCGCAGCGGTGATGTCGTGATGAGAGAGAGGACGCGCTGGCTGCCGGTGTAGGGGTAGCAGTACCCTGAAGGACTGGACCGTGCCAGAGGATGGTCGGGTCCAGTGCCAGGGTGTCGTCGTCGTCGAAAGTCGGCCGAGTAGAGAGCCGGCCCGGCGCGCGCGGAGGAGGAGGTAGCTGCAAAAGGGAAGACGATCCTGTAATAAAAATCAAGTGACTCCGTAGGTGGTTTGGCAACCATAAGCGGAAAGTGAGTCTCATCAAAAATCACGTGGCGGGAGGCGATGACTTTCGCGAGTGGAGGATCGAGACAACGATAACCCTTTGGTGAAGAGGGGTACGATGAAGACGCATGGTGATGAGCGAGGAGCCAATTTATGAGGTGTCGTGGCACTAAGATTTGGGTAGCATAAGCAACCAAAGACTCGAAGCAAGGAGTAGTCAGGCATCTTGTGATAAAGGAGGTGATAGGGAATACCATTATTGATGGAGCAAGACGGGCGCCGATTGAGTAGAAGAATGGCGGTGGCTAGAGCTTCGGCCCAGTAAGCTGAAGGCATGACGGCATGAATCAAGAGGGTGCGAACGATATTGTTTAGCGTGCGCAATATCCGTTCAGCTTTCCCATTTTGAGCGGGCGATGTAAGGGCAAGAAGTGCGAAGAAGAATGTCGCGGCTAGCAAGGAAGGTAGGCGTGGCATTGTTGATGAACTTCAGTGCCGTTATCCGCTCGAAAACACCGGATGAATGCGGGCTGAATTGGGTGTAAGCATAATTAGTAAAATCGACAATATGTGCATGAATCTCTGATTTATGCCGAAGAGGAAACGTCCAGCAATAATGACTATAATCATCAACAAGCACAAGATAATATTTAAATCCAGACACGCTAATAACTGGAGACGTCCAGACATCACAATGAACAAGTTGAAAAGGTGCTGAACAGCGAGACGATGAACTAGTAAAGGGCAGCCGTGTGTGTTTGCCAAGTTGATAGGCATGACAAATACCACGGGCTGCATTATTACAAGAGATAGCTGAAAGTTTATTAAGTGTGGCTATGGCTGCAGGTGCTTGATGACCAAGACGTGAATGCCACAATGAGGAGGAGATGGCGGCGACATGACAGGCTGCAGCAGGTTGACTGTAATGTGGAAGGGTGTAGAGCTCCCCGCCACTATTGCAACGCAGAATCTCGGTCTTGGTCTGCAGATCCTTAACAGAGAAGCCAAAAGCGTCAAACTCAATGGAGCAGTTATTGTCGCGAGTAAACTGACGAACAGATAACAAATTTCGAACAAGATGTGGAGCGACAAGAACATTATTGAGTTGAAAAATATGATCGGCTATAGGAAGAATGGAAGTGCCACGACTAGAAATTGGAATGGAGGACCCATTGCCGACTGTGATGAAGGACGACGAATGAGGTAGATGGGAAAGAAGTATACCGTCGTGGGGGACATATGAGATGTAGCTCCTGTATCGAGGACCTAGGGGCAGGCGCCTCCCTGCAGTGCCATCTGGTTGAGGGAGGCAATGAGAGCGCCCTGATCCCAGCCACCGGACGTAGAAGGCGGTGCGAAGGACGTGTGGGCCTGCGACAGAGGTGCCATTGGAGGACGCCACTGCGGCTGAGGAGTCCACGGAGAAGGACCAGCCCACGGGTTCATGCGAGACCAAGGACCCGGTCGGTACGGGCCGGGCCGGACGTCCGCCCAGAGGAGGGGGACGCCCGCTGGTGGTGGCTTTGGTGGCGGCTGCCACCGCCGTTGTTGCCTCCACGCGCACCGTAGCCGCCCTTGCCCTTGCCGCCGCCTCCACGCGCACCATAGCCGCCGCCGTTGGGGTTGGTGCTTGGGGCGAGGAGAGCAGAAGGGGAGGTGCGAGCCGTAGTCATTTGAAAGTGGATGGACGGACGGCGGCGATGAGAAGCGGTGTTGGAGGAGACCTTGGCGTCGTTGGCGAGGCGGAGCTCCTTGAGCCGAAGGGTGTTGTGGGCGGAGATGAACGACGGAAGAACCTCCGCATTGGCGATGATGTCCGCCGTGTTGGCGAAGTGCGGATTGAGGCCGCGAAGAAGGTTGAGGACCGGTGGGGCTCGGAGTGTGTGTAGCGGCGTCGCGTGAGAGCGTCGGCCGTGTGCTTCATGCGCGCCGGGGGCGTGGCGTCGATGGACAAATCACCACAGGTCATAGAGTGGAACTCTTGACCTGGGGCGACGACAGCGTGTCTCTGGTTTGCACGAAAGCAGTTGGTAATGGCAACAAAGAGATCAGGCGGCCCGCCCGAGTTCCATGGCGAGGTCGAGGGCGCCGTCGTCGATGCAGCCATACATCCAACTCGGACGCAAGCATCTGGTTTGGGACCATGTGCGATCGATGGGGCGTCTGCGGGATGGAGCCGTCGATGTGGCCAAGTAGGCGAACTTGTCGCATTATAGCGGTGAAGAAGGCGGAACCACTTGGTGTAGTTCGGCGACTTGAGATCAAGGGTGATCGACGCGTCTTTGGCGCACGTTGATGGTCGCGTAGGAGAAGATCACAGGAGCAGGGGCGTCTGTCATGGCGGCATGGATGGTGATCCAGACATCCCGGAGGTCGCGGTCGAGGAGGATCCATTGGTGGCCATAACGGGGGGGGGGGCGCCGAGGTGGTAGGGCTAGGGCAGCGGAAGAGAGGAAACCCTAATTTGCCCGGTCTATGATACCATGTAGAGAGATAATGCACTGCACACCCAATAAGGGGGTAGCCTTTCATATATATAGCCGAGAAGGCTTGGAGTACAAGTAATATGAAGTACAATACAAGTCAGGCTATACATATCTATTTATATCTCTAATAATTACCACTGAGATTTCCTATGAAAAGCGTCTCCCTGGTAGGTACACTTCTAACCATGTCATCTAGGTCTCCCCCAGAATTGGCTTTGTGATCTGCATTGTGATCTACTTGTGGGGCATGTGCGCTGATCTATATACTCTTATAAAGCTAAACCCCACTAGATGATTTTTCTCTTCATGTAAGGTGTCCACATCATTCCCCACTAAGTCCATGTCATCTCTTATTAATTACAAAAAATATCCATGTCATCTCTATCATGTGAAATACTTTAAATCTTTAATCTATTAACATACAAGTTATCTACATATGCTATTTGTTTCATCACCTATTCCTCTATAAGTAATCAAATATTCTATTGATTTTTTCTTCTATTAGCTTACCTATTTTTTACTAGATCTGATACAATAAAATAACATACAAGTCAAATTCATATATATATATATGTATACACAATATACATAATACCATATAGTAATGCTATGTATATAACAGATTTATGTTTAAGAAAGCCCCGCCGCAACGCGCGAGGTATACTTCTAGTTATGTTAAAAACTAAATCAACAGCAACTTGGACTGGCTATGTTGAATCAACAGACAGAGTAAATGGGGTTCTGGTAAAATAAAGTCAAGCAAAACTATTAGATCATTTTCGGAGGACAATTCAAATTGTTATCTGAGATAGGAAAGTAGAAGGGACCATTGTAGGTTCATGAGAACCAAAATATGAAGAAGTCCAAAATAATTGCATTATTTTTTTTAGATTTTTATATGGTTACTTTTCTGGATCGCAGTATGAGTGCTGATTTAAACTTCCAAATAATTATATAATTTAGTTTTTGAAGTTCCAAAATAAAATAAAGAGATAGTATTATTCTTGTGCATCAGAATACTTTCCAAACTCTATATTTTCATCTATTTGTGTTTACATTTTAGTGTTTTACAAGGGAAGCTCAGTTGATAATTATGTTTGTTTAAATGCCATTTATCCTTTTGTTTTTGCAGCCTGCAGAGGCATGGAAAGCCCATAACTGCATACCAGATGAGCACTATGTTCAGACGTTGCTTGCTGTAAGTCAATGATCTTGATCATAACAATATTCTTTGCATAATTTTTTTCTGCACTAAGTTCGCTGATCATTCAGCTCTTCTGCAATGCAGCAAAGTGGTCTAGAAGAAGAACTTACACGGCGATCAGTAACACATAGTGCATGGGATCTTTCAGCTTCTAAAGATCGTGAAAGACGTGGGTGGCATCCTGTAACATATAAAGTGTCTGATGCTACTCCTAGACTTATAAAATCTATAAAGGTATATAGTTTCTTCAAATCTGGACACGTTTGTTTCCTTTACGACTTATATATATTTGCTAAAAGCCTAAAACAACATCCACAATGACAACACTTTTGGCGCAAGCAAGTTGGGGTAGGCTTTTTTTATGCTTAATTAAAGGGGAAACCAAAGGGTACATCACCATTTGAATTTTGTTTTGGTTTGCCTTGTTGGCCCACAGTTAGCCTCTCGACCACCGAGATGATCTCCAGACCACTCCATTGGTCTTACAGGATCACCGGCTCACGACAGTGAACCACTCCAGCCGATCTTGCCGACCACCGGCTCAAAGTAGTGGAGCACTTGTCGGTCTCGCCGAGCACGCGCGCTAGTGTTGCCGAGCACCCACTAGCCGCAAGGCACCACGTCTGGCGTTGTCCGTACCCACACACTACGGATCGAGCTAGAAGAGGAAGGAGAAAGCAGAGCAAGCATGCACAATACAGGCAACAAGCGGCGTTGGCGAAGCCCCCTGTCGTGTGATGGCAAATCTGAGCTCTTTTTCTTGAGTTGCCATACATGTCTATTTATACAACTCTAACTATCTAGTCCATGTGCGGCGCCCATGCCGACACAAATAACTAGATAACTTTGGCAGAGAGTGACGACTGCACCGCCTTTGCTTTTGTTCCTCTGATCTTTGTGAGGTGAGCCGTGCTGGCGCCTACACTACTAGCGGCTCTTGTATCACGGCGAGGGGGCAAAGTCGGCGCCGCCTTCCCTTGTTGTGTTCACACACACACATGAGCTGACTAAGTCGGCGCCGCCTTCCTCTCATTTGTGTTCTCACAAGGTGATGAGATTAGCTAACAATCTTCCCTTAATCCTCTCGCTAACCCTTGTAACCCCTCCATGCCGATCATCTCCTTCACTCTCCGTGAGTCGAAGTCTTCCGAAGCGGCTTGGTGAGGACATCCGCAAGTTGTCGACCGGTTTCGACAAACTCGATGACGATCGCCCTCCATCAACACGATCCACGAGGAAGTGGAACTTCACGTCGATGTGTTTACTCGGTCGTGCTTGAGAACCCGGATTCTTCGCGAGGCGATGGCGATGGCGGTGGTTGTCCACCATCAGTCTTTGGTGGGTGAGCTTCCACGCCGGTTAGCTCACCCGGCGATCGGCGTAGCCACACAACAACTTGGCACATTGTGGGCCGCCGCCACGTACTCGCCTCAGACGTAGATAGCGCTACCACCTTACATTTCGGCGACAACCATGAAATTAGGGTGACCGAGGAAAACGAAAGTACGCCGGAGAGGTGCTTCGTCGTCCGTCGATGTCCCCGCCATGTGCGCATCATTGAACACCGTGAGTCTGACCTACTTCCCCGGTCTTTGGGAAGATGATTCCATGATTCACCGTCCCCTTGGCGTAGCGTAGTAGCCGCTTTACCGCAGCCCGATGATCCTCTCTGGGATCCTCCATGAAGCGGCCAGCGTAGCCCACGGCGAACGCAATGTCCGGCTTTGTGTGGACTAGGTAGTAGCTTGATCGCCGACGATGCTCCGGTGAAGTGTTGCATCTACTTTCGCCGCGGTGCTATCCTTCATCGACTTCACCACTCCTCCATCGGAGTCACGCATGGCTTGCACTCCACCATGCCGCTCCTCTCCAACGACTTGGAGACATACGCGCGCTTGCGGCGTGAGTTCCTCCTTCCCTGTCTCACCTCGATGCCGAGGTAGTAGGAGAGAGCGCCGAGATCGCTCATTCGGAACGAGCTGCCATCTCTCGCTTAAAAGCTTGATATTCTCCGCGCTGCGCGCCGGTGGCGATTAAGTCATCCACATACACGCCGACCACGAGTTCTTCCTTCCCCCGTTGTCGTGTGTAGAGCGCGTGCTCGGTTGCGCACCTCTGAAACCCAAGCTCGCCCAGCGTGGTGTCAAGCTTGGCGTTCCATGCTCGAGGGCTTGCCTCGGCCAGAGCGCTGCGCAATCGGAGCACCTGTGCTCCTCTCCCTTGACAACGAACCCGGAGGTTGCACGGCGAAGACCGTTTCCGCCATTTCGCCGTTGAGGGAAGGCGATTTAACGTCCATGTGATGGGCGCGCCGATCCCTTCTTTGCCGCCAAAGCAAGTAGCAAGCGGACCGACTCCATCGCGCGCTCATGGTGCAAAGACCTCCTCGAAGTCGATGCCCTCGCTATTTGGACAAAGCCTCGAGCGACGAGTGCGCCTTTGTACTTGACAATGGCGCCGAGCTCGTCCCTTTGACTTTGTACACCCACTTCAGGTGATCGGACGGCATCCTAGGGGTGGATCGACGAGCCGCCAAGTCTCATTTTCCTCGATCGCCTTCATCTCCTCGGCAAAGATTGCGATTTCCGCCAGCGCATCGCGGCTAAGCTAGCGCGAACGCAGGTGGTTCCGCAGCGACGAGTAGCGGCTCTGCGTCGTTGAGCGACCTACCGCCATACACGAGGGACTGTCTGCCACGACGATGTCGTCCACCTGCGGAACCTCAACTCCTCACCTTCGTGGTAGGCATCCACGAACTTCGGTGATGTCACTTGGAGGTGAGGCGAACTCGATCGGGGGTGATGGAGTTCTTCTTCCTGCCGGAGTGCCCTGATAGCACCTTTTGAAGTGCTCGGCATCGCTTACGGCGCTTTCGTCATAACTCCTGCGCGGTGTTCGGCCACACTGCAGGAGTGCCCGACCTCGATCTTGGAGTGGTCGGAACCACGATAAGGCGTCTTGGCTCCGCCACGGGAGTGCTCGGTACCCGTCCTAAAGTGGTCGCCGCCCATCAGAGAACCGCTGGCTCCACTCTGGCGTGCTCGGAATTCCTCCGAAGTGCTCGACACTCCTCTTGGAGTGCTCGGCATCCCCCTCTGAAGTGCTCGGCCTTTGCCCCGAAGTGCTCGACTCTACTGGGCGGAGTGCTCGGCGCTCCTCCCGAGTGCGTGGCTTTGTTCGCAGCGTCTCCACCGCCGTGGATGACCAAATGCTCGACGACGAAGGTGTTGGTGAAGCCTCCCGCTTCCCGTGCTCGGACTGTGCGGTCCCCAAAGCGCCTCCTCGTTGAACACAACGTCGCGCGAGACGATCACCTTGTCTCCGCGTGGGTCATAGAGCCGATGACGCCTTGGTACCCCCGCGTAGCCCAAGAACACCATGGGTGTGCTCACATCCTCCGGCTTGGTGAGGTTCGGCCCGTCTTCTGGCGTGGCCGATGCAAGCCGAATGTCCGGGAGGAATGACATGTTCGGCTTGCTCCGTGCATTCAAGCTTCGACGGCGTCTTGCCCGTTAGGGCTTTGGTTGGGCGTGGTTGAGGATGAACACCGCCGTGGTCACCGCCTCTCCCCGAACTTCTGCGGCATCCTTTGGCCTTCATCATGGATCGGGCCATGTCGACCTTTATCTGGTTCCGTCGCTCCACCACGCCATTACATTGTGGCGAAATGCGGCGCGGTGTGATGTTGCCCCACACCTTGATCCGCGCGATGCGTAGCAAACTCCACAAAGTGAATTCGCCACCCGATCGATCCTCAAGACGAGGAGCTTCTTGCCGCTCTCGGCCTCGCAGCGTCTTGAACTTCTTGATCGCCACCGCCAACCGTCCTTGCTCGTCGGGAGTTGCAACCACATGTAGCGGCGCAATCGTCCACAGTAGGAGGAAGTACCGCCGACCACCGCATGTAGCAAAGCGTGATCGGCCCGCAGAGGTCGCCGTGAACTAGCTCGAGAGCTTCCTTCGCGCGATACTTGGCCGCCTTTGGGAAAGGTAGCCTCCTCGCTTCCGGCCAGCGGTATCACACGGCTCGCCTCCGTGTTTGATGTAGGGTAGCCCTCGGACCATCTTCCCAACCGACCAAGCGTCGAAGCCGAGATGTCGAACCGGGCATGCCACATCCACGGTTCCTCGGAGTGCCTTGCCGCCAGAACCCGGCCGGTGCTCTACCTTGGTCGGCGGTACAAGCTGGTTCGAGGACCTCTTCACCTTGGCGAAGTCGGCGCTCCCGATCTCTCGATCCTCGAACGCCGTCCTTGATCGAGAACTCGCTATCTGCGCGCTCATCCGGTGACCAATGCCGATGATCTTTGGAACGCATTGCGGGATGTAGTATACATCCGTTAGCGCTGTGCTCCCCATTCGGCATCTCGAAGATGATGGTGCGCGCCTTGGATAGCCACCCTTGAGCCGTCACCAAACTTCACCGTCTCGGTAACATCGCCCGTCGAGCTCGGAGAAGGAGTCCTTGGAGCCCGTCATGTGGTTACGGCACCGAGTCGAGATACCACCATTGCTCTGGTCGACGCCCACATGCCCAAGATGGACTTGGGCGCGTGGTTCGTCGAGGTTGACGGTCTTCGTGGCCTTGCTAGATCCTTCCATCGTCGCCGCCTCTTCCCTCTCCATGGCCTCGGCGTGCGTGTAAAGGCATAGAACATCGCCATAAGGATAGTAGCCTCATCCTCATCATCGGCTTTTCGCCATGTGAGCTCGAGCCTTCTTTTCCTTCTTGCGATTTGGGCACTCCGTGCCCAATGGCCCATCTTCCGCAACACCGGCGAGCGTTGAGTCGATTTGCTTCTTCACCGAAGAAGCCCTCGATGCTTGATGTTTCTTGCTGCCACGCTTGACCGGAGGAGGCTGCCTTGCCTTCGGAGTTTTCGCCGAGCAGCCCACTCCTCTTCCGTCGTGCCAGAGTTTCAGCTGTCCTTCATTCTTTGTCGCTTTGCTCCAGCGTCGTCCACCGCCGTAGACGGCCCGCCACATCCTCGATGGTGAGGGTGGACAAGTCCAAAGATCGTCTCTATGGATAGAGCGATCGGATGTACTTTTTAAAAACGACGGAGTGGAGGAACTTGGAGACCGCCTCCTCTTCATCGATGGTGACGCCGTGGCTCTTGACTTGGCGATGAGCGTCTATGAGCGGAGGAGAAGTCATCCACCGTTTCACCATCCTTGAACTTGAGGTTTGCGTACTCGCTTGAAGCCGGGCGTTGCCTTCTTTGCGTGGTCGGAACCGACGCAAGATCGCCGCAATGGCCTCCCGCCTCCTTAGCTAAGCTCTTCGTCCCCAGCGGTTCCCTATACTCCGCCGACAACACAGCGTGAGTATAGCCTCCATCGGCCCGACATGTCGTCTTCTTCCACGTCGGTGCCCTTGTCAATAGCATTCCGAGCCGAGCGGGCTCGAAGCTTGACCTTCATGGTCACCGACCACTCTCCATAGTTAGTGCGAGTCGGTCGTCGGCCAAGTGGTGCCGCCGACCTCCCGCACGCCGGCGAACAACTACCTCCGTAGAGTGGTCGGGCAGCCACCTGACAGCGATTACTGCGCCGTCGCCCAACTCCAAACCGCCTGTCATCGCCATCCGTTAGAATGACGACGGCGCTTGTACGGCTCTGATACCACTTGTTGGCCCACAGTTAGCCTCCCGACCACCGAGATGATCTCTAGACCACTCCGTTGGTCTCACAGGATCACCGGTTCACGACAGTGAACCACTCCAACCGATCTTGCCGACCACCACCGGCTCAAAGAGTGGAGCACTTGTCGGTCTCGCCGAGCACGCAGCGCTAGTGTTGTCGAGCACCCACTAGCCGTGCAGACCACGTACCGGCGTTGTCCGTACCCACACACTACGGATCGAGCTAGAAGAGGAAGGGAGAACAGAGCAAGCACGCACAATACAAGGCCTTGGCGTTGGCGAAGCCACAATACGTGTGATGGCAAATCGAGCTCTTTTCTCGAGTTGCCATACATGTCTATTTATACAACTCTAACTATCTAGTCCATGTGCGGCGCCCATCTTTGTCGGCACGATAACTAGATAACTTTGTGATGTGGCTGACTGCTGCAAGCCTTTGCTGTTCCTCTGATCTTTGTAGGTGAGCCGTCTGGCGCCTGCCCCTCACTGACTCTTGTATCACAACGCGAGGGGGCAAAAGTCGGCGCCGCCTTCCCTTGCTGTGTTCACACACAGCAGGCAGCTAAGTCGGCGCCGTCTTCCTCTGCTGTGTTCTCACAAGGTGGCTGTAGATTAGCTAACATGCCTTAATTTGACAAGTAATGTAATCATATAATTTGCTATAATGAATAAAGCAACAAGCACCTTTTATAGGAAAAGGAGGTTAATGTCTTAAACATGTAAGACCGGTGGTGGTTAATACTTCATCAATCAAAGAACCGATGTCTTAAATAAATGTCTGTTTTCGAAGGCTGATGCTTTTGTAACAGGGTTGTCACTTGTCAGTTTTGATTCTTGATGTGGCAATTTATACCAAAATAAGCTTCCATAAAGAAGTGTGCATGATAGTTCCTTACTGCTTGCTGAGGATCTATTCTTCTCATTTTTAGGATATCGATAATATATATTACGAGACTGAAAATAGGAGGGAGTGGTGTACAAGTAATGGAAAGCCAGCACCCTGCTTCCTTTTTGCTAGGAAGTTTACACGTGGAACGGGTCTCAAGCTTCTTGATTCAGTAAGTCCATGTCATTCTTTTTCAGTTCTTGCTTGATACATGGGGAGCATATGCAAATTTAGTGTTAGCCTAATAAATAGCAAAGTCCTTTGCTTACAGTAATTTCAAATTTGTTTTGTGCAGTCACTGATAGCTTCAAAGTGATGAATATAGTGGCATGGGCAACTGCCTTTTAATTGTTTCACCCTTACGAGAATATTTCACTTCACACAAATGTAAAGGAAGGTACGGGACCACGGGGGAGACAGAAAAATAACAGCGACTTTTTTTTTTGGTTCATTGTGTGGTATCATATTATTTTGTTGCTTCGTAGAAAGGCACGATACATGTTGTAAAGAAATATCTTCGTTTCTTTCATTGGCTACTAGAATAGCACGTTGATTAACACACGACTTCAGCATTGTAACACCAGTCCACCAGTTGGTTGTGGAGTCCTGAGAAAATTAATCAGCCTGTTCCCTTACTCGTATACAATCGTGGATTATAAGCCAGAATAGTATTTTTCTCTCACACCAAACCAGCCAGCAGTAAATAATCTACAATCGTTTACGGCCTACCGAACAGACTTTGTCGGCAAAATTACGAAGAAATGCTCATATTCATTTTACTGTACACAATGCATGTGTTCTGGTGACAGCTACGATTCATTAGATTGTTCAGAATTCTGTTCCATCAGAAATAATGGTACAATCACAACACCATATTCTGTTCCATCAGAAAGATTGTCGGCACATTTTTTTTTGACTTTGATGATCTCAATACTCCCAGTCTATAGTGATTGTTTTGTCTGGATTAGAAGAGGTCGTTTATCCAATTTAATGCTTTGGCAGAGCTCATCATGGTGCCGGTTTTCAAGACCCGTGCCTAGCACCTGTGCGTAGCACGCAAAATAAGTAAATAATTTAAATACCAACACGTTCAAGTCTGACGTTCCTTACAAGCGCGTTTATGTTTCAATTTAAATAAAATAACTAAAATACACCTCTATATTTGTCACATTCAAGAAAAAAAAGAAAAAAATACTCATGAAAAAACATTCAAGAAAAGATACAACTCAAGTTTAGCATCATGGGATACAGTGCTGGCCCTAGGGGGGGGGCGCAGGAGGTGCGATGGCCAAGGGCCCAGCCAGGATGAGGGCCCAAGCCCATGTATGTAAGACCCTGCAATAAATGTTCCCAGTCGAAAAATAAGCCAAAAATGATTGTTTTGTCTGATTGTTTGAGGAAAGGTCGTTTATCCAATTTTTCAGTGGGTCTTGTTGGCCAGCTCATCATGGTGACCCAGTAGAACACTCGATTTAGCTATAGTCGATTAGGCTTAATGAGAAGGTGCCCCAACAACAAAAGGAGAAACGGAGCCGGCCCAATGAGGCATGTAGAAAGGTTAAATGGCTTGGCTATGTGCACATCGAGAAGGATATCTTGGTCACTATTGATCTCAATATCGTTCTTGATGATTTTGCATCAAGAAAATCTCAAAGAAGTATCTTTTTATAAGAGGCAATGAATATGATGGAGTTATATTCTTCTTTAAGGTAATCATATTAGTTCTAGAAGTATAAATATATTATTTTTTTTAGTCTACGTTGTTTCTTGCTCTAGATAATTATCAGACATGTTAAAATAAAAATATATTATTGGATTTGTTTTTCCTTTATAAGTAAAATTAGTCTATATATTATAAGATTTTATGGTCTAGAGGGGCCATTGCGACGAGTTCGCCAGGGGGCCCTCAAAATCCTTGGACCGGCACTGATGGGATAAAATTACAACTGCACATAAATCAATGAATTAAGAAAAATGTTACATGTTATGTTGGGAACCATCAATATAGATCAATTAATTAAAAAAAAGTTACATGTTATGTGGAGAATCATCCATACGTGTTTGCATGTTTGTATGCATGCTAGATCTAATTTATAGATATATTACCTAAAAATTAGCTTTACCTTCCTATTTCTCAAAATAAAACAATATATTTCTCCTATATGTGATTATAGCAATCCAGATCGACAGTCCATAGTTATTTGGAGGTACCGTAGCAAAAACCCTTTACTAATAGGAGAGGGGATATTTTCAAATGCACGAGCAATGCATTTCATGTTTTTTGAGTTTTCACATGGGTAGCTCGTACGCTGTTAGCACGCCATGCCGGCAAGGCAGCAACGGCCAAGCCGATTGGATCATGAAACGAAGTGCCTGCCCGTAGTCTTTTTCAAAGGACCAAGGAAAGAATGAATTGGATGTAGTAGCACGCATGTAGATGTATTAGGCTAGACTTGTGTAAATCCATTCTCTTGAGCCACCATTCATCCATCCTGTACACAGTCTTGTGTTTGTACTGTGTAGGCCCTAGGCTAGACTTTCAAATATACCCCACAGGGCACACTGCCACAGTGGAGTACTGGACATGGGCGGCAGGCAACACCAACAACTGCTCCCACTAAGATATCTAAAAACTTTCCTCCACACCATTCTGCTCAAAACCAAAAAGGTAGACCAGCACTGCATGTGCAACGCAGGCACTGACATGGCAGCTGTTCCGTGGGCCTCTGCCTTCAGCAGCGAGCAGCACTGACCCGCTGTCTTGTGGCCCATCAGCATCTGTGTAGTGTAGGAGAGCAGCCAAGACAGGAGGATGCACTGCAGCAGTGGCAATACGGAATTGCTTGGCTTGTGTGGTGGTCAAGAAAGACTGGGAGAAGACTGGAGAGCGCCGCGGCTGCCCTCATGCTGTCATGCATGATCTTGCTTGGCTGATTGCAATTGCAATGGTCCTAGCTCTAGGATTCGTTTCGCCTGAGCCTGACTGCTCGTCAGGAAACGAACAAACAAAAACTACACAAGGATGCACGTCCAGCGAGCTCAGTCACCTCGCCCCTTTTCCACCACAGCCGTGAACGACATTGTCAGGTAAAAGCCCCTGAAATTGTGTAGCAGTGCACGAAGCAGCACACTGTTTCTTGGTCAAAACTGCAGTGCACGAAGCGAAGCATTGGCCATTGGGTGGAGGGAAGCTCAGGGGCTCAGCTCAGGGCTACAGCTTGGAAGGAGCTGAAGTAGCCGTAGCTCCTCCATATGGCTTGCTGCTAATGCTGGTGCCTACGAACGCCTAAATTCCACGGCACATGGAGGGCAGGGGCAGTGGCAGCGACCTTGAAATCGAAAGGCCGCAGGATCAGAAGCAGCCACTCCTACCTCTGATCGTCCCTAATACAAAACTCAGGCCAGGCGGCTCCAAAAGAGATCCACTCCCCCGGATGGCTTCTTGCTTCTGCTTCTGCTTCCGCCGCCGCCCAATCATTGCCTGCTTTGTTCCCTTGTTCCTCCTCGTCTCCTTCCTCGCCTCGGCTTCGGCCTCGGCCTCGGCCGCTTCCGTGACGACAACGAAGCTAGGCAGCGGCAATGCCACGCGGCGGGTGGCGTTCAGCTCGGAGGAGGAGCTGCGCCGGTTCCGGAGCATCACGGCCCGGCTTGCGAGGCTCAGGGACGCGTCCGTCAAGACGATCCAGGCACGTATGCTTCGTTCCTTTTTTTTTCCCGGCGACTCCAAATGCAGTGATCGTAGACTGAGTGACCGATCTGGCTTGCGCTTTTTTGCAGAGTCCCGACGGCGACGTCATCGACTGCGTGCCGGCGCACCTGCAGCCGGCGTTCGAGCATCCCAAGCTGAGGGGCCACAAGCCAGAGGTAGGTAAGGTGGCTCATGAGTCATGAGCATGCAGTTCGCCAACGATGGATCGATGATCTCTTCTGTGTCTGAAATGCGCGATGCATCTGCATGCAGAGCGAGCCCGCGGAGAGGCCAAGGGGCAGTGGACATTTCGACATTGATCAAGACGAGGTCGACGACCCATTGCCGCAGGTGTGGCGGCGCTCCGGCGAGTCGTGCCCAGAGGGGACGATACCAGTGCGGCGGACCACGGAGGACGACGTCCTCAGGGCCAGCTCTTCCGCCACCTGCTTCGGGATGAAGGCCCGTGGCGGCGGGTTCGCGCGGCGCGACTCCACCGGTGGCGGCCACGAGGTCAGTGTCAATTAAATTAGTGTTAGTCACCGCCACCGCCGCGGTGACGGTGGTCGCCGGCCGCCACTCCAATGATTTACCATTGGCCGTACAAGAAACTAGCTCGATGCATTGGAAAAGTAGAAATGGTACCACACCAATAATTGCTCGATCGAGAGCCTAATCGATCCGGCACAGGTGACAGGCACACGGTACAGGCCTCACGTACACTGCGCTCGTGCCGGATGGATGGTCGTCGTTGATTTCCAGCCCACAGAATTATTTAGTAAACATGGCACATCACATGCACATGCTGTCGACTCGACTGCATCGTTAACAATGGAAAAAGAAGGTCAGTAGTTCAGTACTACGTCACTGAGCAGCTAGATCGCCTCTGTTCTGTTGTGTTTGCAGCACGCGGTGGGGTACGTGACCGGCGGGCATTTCTACGGCGCGAAGGCGAGCCTGAACGTGTGGCCGGCGCAGGTGGCGTCGCCGGCGGAGTTCAGCCTGTCGCAGATCTGGGTCATCTCCGGCGCCTTCGGCAACGACCTCAACACCATCGAGGCCGGCTGGCAGGTCAGCCCTCAGCTCTACGGCGACAACAGCCCCAGGTTCTTCACCTACTGGACAGTAAGCATGCACCTCCATCCCTCCATCTTCTTCTCCGATCATCAATCAAATCAAGGAAATGCAATCCAAATCATGCAATGCAATTGCGACGCAGGACGACGCGTACCAGGAGACGGGCTGCTACAACCTGCACTGCTCGGGGTTCGTGCAGACCAGCAGCCGCGTGGCCATCGGCGCCGCCATCTCGCCCATCTCCACCTACGCCGGCCGCCAGTTCGACATCACGCTGCTCATCTGGAAGGACCCGCGCCGGGGCCACTGGTGGCTGCAGCTCGGCTCCGGCGGCTTCGGATCCGGCGGGCTCGTCGGCTACTGGCCCTCCGCGCTCTTCACGCACCTCGGCTCCCGCGCCGACATGGTGCAGTTCGGCGGCGAGGTCGTCAACGCGCGCCCCGCCGGCGCGCCACACACGCCCACGCAGATGGGGTCCGGGCGGTTCCCGCCCGAAGGGTACGCGCGCGCCGCCTACTTCCGGAACGTGCAGGTCGTCGACTGGGACAACAGCCTCGTCCCGGCGGCTGGGCTCCGACTACTCGCTGACCGACCGGGGTGCTACGACATCGCCGGTGGCAGCGGCGGCGCCTGGGGCACCTACTTCTATTACGGTGGGCCCGGCAGGAACGCACGGTGTCCGTAGGCCGTATAGCTTAGGAACGGAACGGCGGAATGGGTGTTGTTTGTACGTGTGTTTCGTACGTGCTCACACATATACGCATGATAAGTCATGACTGAAAGTACTGTTGACTGATTTGTTGTGAGAGAAAAATATCTGTTCGTTGGCTAAAAAAGTATAACTTAAAACGAACCGGGCGATAGCAGGCTGATTGCTAAATTACTACAAACGAAAGCTTTCGTTTTTTTTAAATCTATCCATGTGAATATGATTGCCGTTGTGATCATCTGACAATTTGTTCATTAAGTTTTGTCTGATTTGTTTCATTGTTTCTGCCATCGTGTTACAGTTACAGGCTTGGTGCCGATGAGTTTGGTACAAAGGTTCGGAATTTCAACTGAACTTTCACGATTTTCGATTCTATCTATGACCCTACGTAAATGTTTATATCTGTAATTTCGCTTTCTATTTAAATGAGATTTATTCAGATTCTCAAATTTTAGTCAAGATTTTACAAAACAAAAAAATTGGTAGAATTTTTGGCGATTTTAGTTTCTACCGGTCCCCTTTATTTTTGGGTAGAAGACATTCAAGTTGCGTCGGGCCAAATTTTGCCGATGACTTCAAAACTTAAAAGGCAAACTTGGGCTTTGCAGATTGAATTAAAAGAGAAACATGGGCCTTAGCGCGTCTGTGCTGGGCCCTGCTGAGTGCGTTTCGGCACTCAGCGAACACGACCCGAAAAGTCTGAAACACTGCTCCAAGGTCCAAGCTCAAAACCTGAAATGCCATAGGGCCATTGGCCTGTTTAAGCATTTTGAGTTTCGAACTCATGGCCACCTGTGATCATCTAGAAGAACAAATGTTTCTAAAAAAAAAGAACAAATATGATCCAGGGTGCAAAGTTCCAAAAAATTACATCTTTGACAGTTTTTTTTTTTCTATTACAACTTGAAATAGTACATTCCTACACTACACATGAAAAAAAACTGAAACAAAAAAGATACAATCTATTCATGTTTTCCATTATCTTCTCCCTATTGGCTTTCATCATCGTCGACGCTCCAGGTGAACAGAGCTCCATTAAATATAGAAGCTGCAATCTCTAATGTCCTAGCACGGCAGCACCAGACCAGAATACATTTGAATCCATGAAAAATATTGGCGTTTGAATTGTCTAGTACAACATAGGTTCAAATTCAGCACTCCAGCTCATGGTCCATCAAGTTTAATACCTAGTTTCCACTATGTGGACATTGACGATTTAGTATCCTCGCGGGGAGTATCTAGGAGCACATTTCCCCCTGCATATGGCGACCACAAATTGACCTCCTGTCGATGAAATTGGCTTCCACAATGGCGATCTTCTCGTGTCCATCTTAGAAGTTGCCATAGGTAACAAGCTCTTGATCGAACATCAATGATGATTCCATTAAAACCTAAAGGATTGCTTAATTGTAAAAAAAGTGGTGTGTCCCTTTTCCTTCTTGCCACCTGTGGCCTCGGCAAAAAGGTAGGAGGGAGGCCTAGGAGGCCGTTGCAAGGAGGTCCTAGGTGGAGGCTAAGTTTTTTAGTTATCTTAAAAGAAAGATGCAAATTGCAACATTTGATGGAAATTCAAATTCCGTTCAGTTCTGATCATATTATGTCCTATCAAAATGATGAATTGAATTCCTTAAAGAACACCCAAAGACTATGCGCATCTTCTTTCCCAAGTGGGTTTGATCATTGACTATGGCCCATGATGCAAACTAAAAGATCACTAGCCAGTAATTTGCTCAAATTCAAAAGGAATAAAAATGCAGGTCCCATTATACTATACAAATCAATCCACAACTCTAAAAGCTCAAATGGCTAAGAGAGCACAAATCACGCGTGAACCACCGGCAACAACAAAAGAAACGAGACGGTAGGGATACAGGGTTCATGTGCTCCCTTTTGCAAACATATTCATTGACCACATATGCATTATTATCAATCATATAACAATTTACACTAACCTCCATTGCACTATGCCGGATTTATGGTACAAAACATTATTAGCCTTTCATGACTCGCGAGACCCCTCTATGGATCCCCTATCATCATCATCATCAATAACAAATTCCTAAATGATTCCATTTTGTACCCACATCACACAAGGTTGCACCTAGCAAAACGACGCACCCCCTCTACTTTCTCGTTTCCAACACTGACACGACCTGTGCCATCCATCTCGGCTACGGGTCCCCCAAAAGGTACACCACACAGCGGCAGTGGGCCCAGCCAGTCCAGACCATTTGCTTTCACTCCCGGTTCTTGAGCAGGCTTTGAGACCCTGAACTTGTCCGGGCCTGGGCTGGTTGGGCGAGGGCCATCAATTTGGTCGGAGAAATGGGCTGCTTCGGGTCGGCCCACTTCCTGGCCCCGGCGCCGGCCTCGGCCTCCGCTCCTCCGGCTCCGCCTCCAGCTTTCCGCGCCTCGATGCTGCTGTCGTCGTGTTGGATGCCACGCAGCAGCGCCGCCACGTCCTTCATCATCGGCCGGTCCTCGGGGCGCGGGCTGGCGCAGAGCAGCGCGATGCCGAGGGCCTGCAGCATCTCCTGGACCTGCGTGTCCGGCCGGCCCTGCAGCCTCGCGTCGATGATCTCCATGGGCTCCCGCTTCCGGCACAGGTGGTCGCGCACCCACTGCACCACGCTCTGCCCCTCGCCGAACGAGTGGTCCAGCGGCCGCCGCCCCGTGATCATCTCCAGCAGCACCACGCCGAAGCTGTACACGTCGCTCTTCGTCGTGATCTTGGTCATGCACCCGTACTCTGCGGTGCGCGCGTCGAATCAGGACGAATTAATCAATTGAATTGATAAATGGCATGTCAGGAACGACTTCAGATCAGGCAACGGCCGGCCGGCCGGCCGGCTTACCGGGAGCGATGTAGCCGTAGGATCCGGCGAACGGCGGAGGCGACGAGCTGGCGCCCTCGTCGGCGAACCTGGCCAAGCCGAAGTCGGCGACGCACGCCTCGTAACGCTCCCCGAGGAGGATGTTCTCGGCCTTGACGTCGCGGTGGATGATCCCCGGCACGCAGTCGTGGTGGAGGTACGCGAGGCCCTCGGCCACGCCGACGGCGATCGCGAGCCGCACCTCCCACTCGACCACGGCGGCGGCGGCCGTGCCCCCGCCGCCGCCGTGCAGCAGGTCGCCGAGGGTGCCATTCGGGAGGTAGTCGTAGAACAGGAGCCGCGTGCGGCTGTTGGCCGCCCACCCCAGCAGCCGAACAACGTTGCGGTGGCGCACCCGCGGGAGTACGCTCACCTCGCACGCGAACGCCTCGGCGGACGCCTCGTCGCACGACCGGAACTTCTTCACGGCGACGGTCACGCCGCTCGACGGGAGGCTCGCGCGGTACACCGACCCGGACCACCCCTGCCCGATCACGTTCGCGGGCGTCAGGCTGCGCGCCACGTCCGCCACGCCGATCTCCAGCTTCTGGTACAGCGTCACGTTCCACGGCGGCGACATCTCGCCGTCCTTCTCCCCGCTGGCGCGCGCGGCGCGCCGGTGCCGCCCGAAGAGAATGAGCGCCGCGGACACGAGGAGGACGACGAGGGCGGATAGCAGCACGGCCATCGCCACGCGCGCCGCGTGGCGCGCGTCGCGGTCGCGGTCGCCAGCGTCGCCCGCGCACCGGGAGAGGCACAGCGCCGGGTTGCCCTCGACGTCGCTCGTGGGTAGCTTCGCGAAGAACGCCGTCTCCGGCAGCCGGCCCGTGAAGCCGTTGAAGGATATGTTGAGCGCCACGAGGTTCTGGAGCCCGGACAGTGTCTGGAGATCGCCGGACAGCTGGTTATGCGACACGTCGAGCACCCCGAGCCTGACAAGCCCGGCGAACTCTACCGGGACTGTGCCGGTGAAGCTGTTGCAGCTGAGGTTGAGAGCAATCTCCAGCCCCGGAATCTTGCCTATGCTCCCCGGAATCTTGCCGGAAAGTGAGTTGCCGCCGACGTCAAGGAGCTGGAGCCGGGAGCACGAACCAATCTCCGGTGGTACCGACCCTGACAGCCGGTTGCCGCTGAGGATGAGCTTCGTCAGAGAGGTGAGCATGCCGATGTCCGACGGGAGAGTGCCTCCGATGACGTTGTAGGAGAGGTCGAGGTACTGGAGAGAGAGCAAGTCCTGGAACAGCCCCGGTGGCAGCTCGCCGGAGATAGCGTTGTCGTGCAGGTCGACGAACGTGAGATTCCGGCACCCAGATATCTCTGCTGGCAGAGAGCCGGACAGCCGGTTCGAACCGAGGTCAAGGAAGCTGAGGTTCCCAAGCTTTCCGATCTCGGTCGGTATCGCACCGGCGATGTGGTTGCCGCTCGCTCGGAACCGGACAAGGGACGTGCAGTTGCCAATCTCCGTCGGCAACTCGCTGGATAAGTTGTTGTTGATGAGCAGTAGCTTAGAAAGCCGCGGCAGCGCAAAGAGAGACCGCGGGATGGGGCCGGTCAGCGCGTTGTTCGACAGGTCGAGCGCCTCGAGGCTCGTGCACCGGCCGAGCTCCGGCGGGATCGTGCCCGTCAGCTGGTTGGCCCAGAGGTAGAGCATGCGCAGCGACGGGAGGCCACCGAGTACGGCAGGAATGCTGCCGGTGAGCTGGTTGTTGTCGAGCTCGAGGTCAGTGAGGTTGCTGCACCGGGCAAGCTCAGGCGGCACCGTGCCGGAGAGCTTGTTCACGCTAAGCTGCAGCTGCTGCAGCGACGGAAGGTTGCCGAACGACGCCGGGATGTGGCCGGTGAGCCCGTTGAGCGACAGGTCGACGACGGTCAGCCCGGAGCACGACCCGAGCTCCGGCGGGATGATGCCGACGAGCTGGTTCTGCCACAGCAGCAGGTTGGTGAGCCTCTTGAGCCTGCCGAGCTGCGCCGGGATGGACCCGGACAGTGCGTTCTCGTAGAGGTAGATGTTCTCCAGGCTGGTGCACTGGCCGAGCTCCGGCGGTATCGGGCCGGAGAGCAGCGCCGTGTAAATGGCCAGCGTGGTGAGGTTCTTGAGCTGCCCGAGGCTCGCCGGCAGCGGGCCGGTGATGCTAGTCTCGGCGAGGCCGATCATGGTGAGCTGGGAGCAATTGCCGATCTCGGTAGGGAGCGCGCCCTGGAGGTTCTTGTTCCCGCCGCCACGGAGCACCTCAAGGTTGGCCATCCGGCCGATGGCCACCGGTATCTTGCCGGCGAGCTGGTTGTCGTAGATGATGAGCTCCCGGAGAGAGGTGAGGTTGCCGATGGCGTCCGGCAGGGCGCCCTCCAGGCGGTTGGAGTTGAGGTACAGCGTCTCGAGCTTGCTCCCCGGCCGGCACAGCCCCGCCGGTATTGGACCGGTGAGCGCATTGTTGCTGAGGTCGAGGTGCGCCAGCGCCGGCAGCTCGCCGAGCTCCGGCGGGATGGCCCCCGTCAGGTTCGCGCCGGTGAGGACGAGCCGGGTCAGCGTGGAGCCCAGGGCGGTCAGGTTCGCCGGCACGCCGCCGAACAGGTCGACGTACTGCAGGCTCAGCTCCGTGACGCCCCCGTCCGCGTTGCACGTCACGCGCGTCCACCGGCACGGCGACGCGTCGGTCGGCTTCCAGTCGGCCAGCGCGTCACCGCCCCGCAGTGTGGCCTTCCACGCCAGCAGCGCCGCCCCCTGCTCGTCCACGGCGACGGCACAGCCCACGCACAACACCAGCACCGCGCACGCCATGAGCGGCGCTGCCGCCACCGCCCGCCATTTGCTTCTCCTACTCATCATAACACCAAGACTCATGACACTCGTACTGAATTGTAAGTATATATGTCCAAGAACACGATAATTCTGTAGAATTGTAATGTACTACTTCTAATTGCCCCAAAATCTTGGTCTTGCTTATGTCTCAAGACTAGTACAAACAGAGGAAGAAGACGAAGAGAGAGAAAGAGAGGCCATGGGAGATGGTGCAAGGTTTTTTATATGCTCGCCTCGTAGTAGTTGCAGGGGAAGAGGGAGGACAAAGATAGCAGTAAGAACAAGAAAGTGGAGTGGGGGTCTAAATAGCCTATGCTTGAGAGGGTAGGAGGACGTGAAAGAGTTTAGAGTTTGATGAGGCCATGGAGCAATGGAGGCTGTGCAGCTTATGCCTACAGAATCTCAGGATCCAAGGTCAGTGCTGCACACTGCATACACCTCTGTCCATCTTTGTGGACTCTAGTGCAGTGTAATTACTGGTGCTAAGTGCTAGGTTACTGTTAGGATTGGAAGGTTAGGTTTTGAAAAAAAAACTTGGGTAGGGAGGGATCACACCAACGACTAATTTGCTTTGCAGGGGAGTTTTTTAATGGCTGCAACAGCTTTGATGCTCAGAGGAAAAGAAAGTGTGCCTCACCTCCTCAGAGCCACACCACACCACACCACACCGGCGGCATCAGATCAGGCAGACAGTTAAGTAACTTCATGGAAAGCCTGTGTGTCACGGGGGATAAGATAAATTAACATGCAGTTAGAGCAGCATTTTTTGACAGCAAGCAAGGACTTGATTGCAGTTTTGAGCTTTGCAGGGTCACAATTGAAGTTCAAGAACAGAAGAATGGCTAGAGCTGAAACTTGAAATAAATGGAGATGAAATAAAAGGATGCATCCATCAGGGTCATAAAAGTTCTGTCATTCATTCCATGCAACATACCTTGAGCATAACCTCCAGCTTTAGAAGTTAAATAATTCAGAATACAGTCAGTAAAATTTGCTGAAACAGTAGAGAACATCTTTCAGCTGAACAAGGAGGCAGATACAGGTGATTTTGATTCATGTTAGAACATACTTTATAATTTTATTTTTAAATTTGAATGCATGTGAAAACAATTTCTCTTGAGTCCACTTGATCATTTCAGAACACTTGGGAATTCTGAATGCATGTTTACTACCATATCGGCGATTTGCAAAACTGGGACTCGAAACATTGGTCGTTTGCAGATTTGACACTGGACCCACATTCATAGACACAAATGGACCCACTTGTTATCCACCCGAGTGTCATCATAATCAAGGAGTCAATCTTTCGAGTGTCATTTTTGCAAATTTTTCTCAAATATGGCTACTTGAAGTCATGGGGTAAACAGCCAGTATGCCCTGCACTGTAATTACAATCATTGCAGGCTGACAATTGAACAATTGTGATAGTAAGAATCTCCAAAGTTGAAAGTTAAAAAGAAGAATAAAAGGAGACATCACAGCTGGTGACCCAGTGGTAACACATGGCAGAAGTGAATACGAACCAGTTCATTCCATGCAGTAACAATAATATAAACCCCAATGCCAGAGCCTGTTCCTTGGCGGATTAAACAGGCAGGATTGGATTCAAACCCCTCAATGGAGTTGCTGTCACATGCCCTGGGTTAGATCTAATCTTGCCTTTCCACTGTCAAAGACTTTGTTAATTACTGCCCCCTTGTACTTGAGTGTTAATGCAGAGGAAGCCGCCATCCAGCAGATCAAATATATACACTGGCAAAAGGGCAGGAAATTTTGCAGGCACACGCATCTATATCTACCTTCCTGCCTCTCCAAATTCCCATTGGTAAATGAGCTGTTCTGAGTAAGCACTGCAGCGTTACTGATCCCGATCCGGTAGAAGATAATGGAACTTGCAGGGGATTTACATTGGAAGTAGAACTTCTGTTGCAGTGCTGGTTGTTTTACCTGAAAAGGTTATGGTACAAACTCCTGCTCGGTGTTTACAGTAAAAAAGAATAGATGGACAGAGATAAGTGCCGTGAACTCTGATAGCATACATATACAGAGATTAAAGTCGAAGTAGAACAATCTGTAGTCCATGAGATCAATGAGTTACTACTTACAAACTCTGACTGACTAGACTGAGGAACAACACTCACCAATTGATGGATGAACCTGACAAAGAACAGCACGCTAGAAATGATTACTACTGATAAAATCTCAAAACACGTAAGTACATAATAGTCCTCATGAACCAATCTATGAGATCACAGCATCACAATGCAGCAGCAGGGACGCTTAAAGCTGGCACAAACTGAAAGGCTAACAATTTTTACATGCAAGGGAAGCAGAATGAAGTGAGGAAGTTATGCTTGCTGAATACTGACAGTGGAGTTAATTTTTAGAAAGTACAATCATTTGCACAATGCACAATTCCCAAGGCTTTCACCACATCGTGATCTAGATCTACCGACCCAAACTTGTTCACCTGCTCCAGTTTGTTCCTTGATGCATATGGCATTGGCAGGTTTGTTGGCAAAATGTCAATGTATCTGTTCTTTTGCGTGGTGCTTGTGCATGCTACGCATAGAGGTAATTAAATCGACCAGTCGTTGAAAGGCATCTCCATATGGCATACTATTTCTCTTTGATTTTGTTAAGCAAAAGCGATCAAGCGATCACGTGAGGCAGTGGACTACTGGAGAGCGAAGATACTTGCCGCGTGACTGCATCCACCCAACAATATTCCATTTTTTAGGCCCTTGTAGACCTGGTGTGGCTATTGGTAATCATGTGCTCCATCTTTTGTTTGGGGAGTAGCTAAATTTACTTAATCCCACAAACCAAAAGCCAAAGCGAGTTTTACGTAAGGAGAAGCAAAGGTCGACAAAATTCAAACTGAAAGGGGAAAAGGAGAGAATATGAATAAAAAACAGAAATATTCAAAAGCTAGCTTGCAAGTAATAGTAAGAATGAAGATGACGTACATGAGACATTGACAAGGAGAGAATCTAGGCATGACGGGCGGGGAGGTGGTAGGGTAGGAGTGTAGGACACATGGAGAGGTTAAAGACACGGAGAATAACAACACCCAAGGATAAGGGTAGTTGTCATGTGAGAAGGTGATGGTGGAACAGATAAACACGTATACTATCATTGGAGGAGGTGGACATTTGTTTAATTCCAAGCAATTAATGGCTGGGTAGACATGGATTAACAATAAACAAGTAAAGGCACTACGTACCTTAACCGGTGAAGAGCAATGAACAAAAGGAGCCATGGAGTGAGTCGGCATATATTGTCCAAAAAATTTTCTTTCTGAAAATAATCGAAGAAAACAGGTCAAATTGGTGATGCCTAGGCCAAGGAAGACAAACAGAATTGCCTACTCGGCAGTATTCCACATTTCAAAGGGCGATACAGACATGATAAATTGGACATCAGTCGGATCATTGGTTACTGGGTTTTTCACACAAAGGAAACAGAATTCCAGCACAGCGGCTGATTTCTGGCTCATTTCTAAATGGTTACCCGCTGAAAAACTTTGGAGTCCACCTTGTGGTGTTGTCAAACACGGATGAACCCATCTTTTTTTTTTGAATGCAATGACAGGAACTCTGCCTTTCAATTAAGTGAGAGAGAAAGAGAGTTTATGTACAAGCAAATAAGGGGAGGTACTCCAAAGAGGAGAAAAAAAACACAGCTGTAGAAAAGCACACACTCCTCTAGGAGGGGTAGCGTCTAAGCATAAGCGAAAGCTCTCTTCCTTTGCTCTATGTCTTCCTTGATTCTTGCAGCCACCTGAAGTATAGTTTGGTTGCGTTGTTGAAAATTCTCCTATTTCTCTCTTTCCAAATATTCCAGAATGGGTAGATGACCACCCCGTTCAGTCTTCTACGATCAGAGTTAGGCACCCTATTCACCACCTCCTCCCACCATGCCCTGATGTTGACAGGGTCAGCTTGGTGTTGCAACCACAACTCAGTGAAGTTCTCCTAAGAGAGGATTTGGTCCCTAACCACCTTTGCGAAGGGACAACATAAACAAAGGTGAAGGCTGGTTTATAAGGGCCCATTGCAAAGCAAGCAGCGATCTTGGTGTGGCCACCCTCTCTTTTGTAGGTTTTGCGCCGTAAGAATTTTATCTTGCACTAAAATCTAGGCGAAGATCTTACATTTGTTCTCCACTTGTGCTCTCCAAATTAGGTCGCTACGAAAAAAAACGAAGGAGCCTCTGAATTGAATTTGGTAAGCTGAGCGGGTGGAGTAGGCACCATCCGGGGTCCATCGCCAGGTGATGGAGTCCCGAGCTCCTTGCTGCAGGTGCACGTCCTGAATCCTTATCCATAGAGACACAAAATCTTCAATGTGGACAGCTGTGGTGATTTCCCCCTTAGTGAGCACATCCAATTGTTGTTCCAAAGTTCCTGTTGCACTGTTCCATTTTCTGGAAATAAGCTAAAACAAATGTGGGGCTAGATGCTTGGGAGCATCTCCCTCGAGCCAGTTATGGTGCCAAAATCGAGCCTTTATGCCGTCCCCCAGCATTATTGTGATTGCGGAGTTGAAAAGAAGGCGATCAACGTCACTGCAAGGGAGCTCCGAGCCTATCCATGGCTTGAAATCTTCCACCCATTCTTGCCAGAGCCATCATAATCGAAAGAGCTCTTCCAAATCTGTCAAGGTCGGGCATCCCTACTCCTCCAAGATCTTTGGGTTTGATAACTGTTGGCCAGTTAACCAGGCAGTGGCTGGCCTTTGCATTGTCTTCACCCTTCCATAGAAACGACCTCCTGATTTTGTCTATCTTCCTCCTTGCCCAAGTAGTCAAACGGAACACTGTGAGGTGGTATGTTGGCATGGTAGAGAGGACCGAAGTGACTAGAATGAGGCGTCCTACTTTGTTTAACCATCTCCCTTTCCATTTCGGTAACCTTTATGCAATACGCTCAATGAGAGGTTGCACATGAATCTTCTGAAGCGATCTATTGTGGAGTT